GTGTAGTAACACCTGATTAATGGTGTTGTAATACCTGAAACGTTTTCAGGTTAATGGTGCCATTTATCTCAGCCTTTAGTAGCTGATGTTGTTAACATCCGGATCGATAAACTTGCATTAAGGGATTCTATACAACACATTAGAAGGAAGATGATCATTGAACCGACGTTGTTACATACACCACCCCGGTTCAGGCGACAGACCGGACCGAACTACCGAAGACCGAAGTGATCAACATCCACCGAGGTCAACATGAACCGAGGTCGTCACCTCCTTAAGTAGGTGACAAGGCGCCTACGTGTGATCCTCCAGCTCCACGAAATCCGTCATCATTTATGTGGGACCCCCTACCTCAAACCGCCCACAAAAAGTAACTTTATTCACAAAAGTCATGCACAGATCCCAATGTATCAACCCGAAATTACTATAAATAGCGGACCTATGACAATTGTAAGGGGATCTCACTTTTTCCGAATTCTCCAAACTGTAAACACTTTACTAAGCAACACGCAAAAGCCCATCACGGCTCTTCACCTCGGTTCACCTCGGACCGGGGCCATTGTCGATTCTATCTTACATGCTTTACGTTCAAATCATTCTAAATTACCCACTTAATCATAAATTATATCGTTGTTAAGAATCACATAACAACAGATGTAACCTTTGGTTCTCCCTCATGAGGTGGAAGTCCTATAAATAGGACTTAGAGCTGCAAGTGAAAGATACACAACATTTCATGCTCTCTGATTATTCTCAAAGCCTCACGCATCATATCATACTGCTCTGTTCTCGACTTCATTCCAGTTCGTCGGAGCTCGAATTCTGGTGTGCTACAGCGTTCGAGACGTAAGCCGTTGTATCTTTGGGGACGAGACGCCTGTACCCGTCAGCACTATACGGGGCGTTTTCGTCTTGCGGAAAGAGCAATCGCCTCGGCTATTTTCGATTTCTATTTTGTAATTTTTCGTTGCTGTTTTAGTTGAAATTGTAAGAACTGAACACTTCAATCAGTTCATAGGTTCCCGTTGTAACTTCAACACTACTTTGTATAACATTAACCTAATAAATTCGAAAAGTTAAAAACAATGTAAGTCATGCCAGTTTCAGCGTTCGAATGAAATTACATTTATTTATGCAGGTCAACAAAAAAGTCAA